TGGACAAGTATGTATAAGCTCTCATGTTGTAATCCACATTTTAGGCCTGAAAATTACTTCAAACCCCCAAACATTATATGTTTTCTGAAAGCCAAGACCCTGTAGAATAGAATGGTGGGAAGTGCAAATTTTCATGTTGCACAATATTAGCGCATCGTCTTCTATGGACTTTTTGGGGTACTGGGTTTTTTTGCCGTTTTACGGATGCACGCAATTTGTAACCTGGGCATGTTGGGTATCGTTTAAGTATCGGGTATCGGTCGGTAAGGATAACCCCCTACTTTATATTTGTTACATGTTCCCATTCACATAGCATAACTTACATAACATTTACTCTGTCTGCACTGTGCTGACAGATTTATCAGTTGTAAATTAGATTTATTTTACAGATCGCTAATCAAAATATGATTTAAAAAAAAAACAAATATCAAGTCAAACAAAAACACTTCCAAGAGAAATAGAAGCCATAAAAAGGGAGAAAGATGAGATAAAGAGAACAAGGAAAGGTCGATATGGCAAAAAGGGCCAAGTAGAAATTCACTCATACAATCAGTGTAAAAAGACAGGAATCAAATTAGGAATACCAAGGATTCAAAGCATTACAAAACTTAACAGAACCATCTTTAACCACTTCAAGACCAGGTGTTTAGACCCCCTCCCTGGCCAGGCCATTTTTCAGTATTCAGCGCTGCAGGAATTTGACTGACGTTTATTCCGTCATGCAACGCTGTACTGAAATGAATTTTATACCATTTTCTGGGGACAGATAGAGCTTTCTTCTGGTGGTATTTAAACACCACTGGGGTTTTTATTTTTTTACTAAAGGAGAAACATACTAAAGGAGAAACATTGTATATTACATCACTTCCGCATTCTTGCGTCACTCTCCAGCTTCAGATGCTGGAGAGAAGCTGAAGAAGTAGTCCTCTGCTTCATCAGCTTCTTCGGGGGTCCTAGGTGACATTAGGGATCTTGGAGACCCCTGATGTCTCCATAGAGAGGACCTGTCACATCTTTCGCTATCACATAGGGTGGTTTCTTAGCCCCCTATGTAATAGCAATAAAGTTAAGTGGAAAAAAATAGGAAAATAGGAAAAAAATTCAAGTTTCCCAAAAAATTTTTTTCAAGTTACACATAATTAAAAAAATTTAAGTCCCCACCTATACATACACGCATGCAAACATGCGTCGGGTGCGCATACCTGCGAAACAGACGATTGCGCCCATTACGCTGCACATGTTACATATCGGCGCGAACGTCGGAGTGAGATCAATAATTCTAGGGCCATCAATCACTGATAACGCTAAACTGATGAGCGGTTAAAGCTTTTAAAGCGTCGCCAATGGTCAATTTTGGGTATGGTGTTTTTTTGCAATTTTGCGAGTGCCCGCAATTTTTAAGCTTGACATGTTTGGTGTCTATTTACCCGACGTGACCCCGTCTTTTATATTTTACCAAAAAATTGGGTGATAATAAATGTTTCCTAAAAATGTTTAAAAAACATTTTAAGTAATTTTCACGAAATATAGTAAAAAATAAAAACCCCAGTGGTGATTAAATACCACCATAAGAAAGCTCTATCTGTCCACAAAAAAATGGTATAAAATGAATTTCAGTACATTGTTGCATGACGTAATAATGTCATGTAAATGTCAAAGTACTGCAGCGCTGCATACTGAAAAATGGCCTGGCTTAGCCAGGAAGGGGGTCTAAACACATGGTCTTCAAGCAGTTAAAATAGGCCCAGCCGCCCTAAACAACATATAGCAATCAATCATCCGCCCGCCGGCGGGGTCCAGGGAGAGATCGTCATTCTGCCGGCCCCGCCTGGGTGTCAGAGAAAATTGCAGAAACGTCACCAGCACACCAAATCCTTATAGGATCATAGTTCGTAGATTTTATTGCAAACTCATGTCAGTTACACAAGCGCTTTCGGGGCCACACAGAGTCCCTTCATCAGGCATAGCAATGACACAATGATAAGAACAGAGAGGGTTTAAATAGACATAAAGCAGTGCAGACACACCCTTAGACACACCCCCTGATGTCACATGACGTCAAAAAACCAAACAGCTGTGAACAATGGAATCATTAGAAAGACAAGCTTCTATTCACCATTTTCAAGTGAAAGAGAAACCAAAGTATTGTTGCAAATGAATCATATCTAACTACCATATGTAAAGCATACAATTATACCAGGAAAAAAAAAGGGGGGGTTATATAAACAATCCAACATGTGCAGTGGTTACCATAACTTTGCGAATGCAGATGCCGGGTTGCCATAGCGACAGGACACCGTCGTTCAGTGAGAGCAGAGGGACAGTCTATTGGCGCACGCGCCGTGCGGTAAAGGTATCGTGCTAGCAGCCAAAGAGGAGTCAAAATAGTCACTGGGAATGTGCATGGTGTGGTCCGTCCTATAAATCGGATGGAACGCACCGCCATCTTGCGCTTCAGGAGACAGACTCGGTTATTTGTTGCTAGGAAACCACAAGCAATATGCGCGTCATCCGCCCATTGGCCAGAGGCAATTGAGGAGGAGCACCACAGATCTCAAACAAAACATACTGCACAGATTCATAATTGAAAGAAAAATTACAATAACAATGTATGTGTTGTAAATATATTGCTATTAGATTAAGGCAAGAATACTCTGAACAGGTAAACAGCAGAGGCGTAAATAAAGGCGCTGAAGGCTAAACAGTGGCATTATAAAATACCGGTAAACGGCACATGTAAAGTGTCAAAAAATGACAAGCAAAACCATATGGCAGGAAGAATTATGTCAATATTGTAACAGTACAAGTTCAATTAACAAGACAACGTGTTAGTGCCATAGGTCATGCCCCGTCCGAGTCAGCACCATTTAAAAGATGTTACGTTGGGGGATATGTGACCCAAAACCAAGAAAAAATGAAAACCACAGAGTTGTCGCTGCATAGCAAACGACCCATTGTGGGCTAAAAACATTAATTACCATGGAAATAGTGTTAGTGGACTGGTCTAAGGCGTTCATAGAGATGAACAGACCTTTACCTGGCATCAATAAAGCAGGATAAACTAAGACTAGTATTTAAACCTCTGGGGTGTGCAGTGTCCAGAGTGTATATCCAAAATGCTTCCCGTTGGAGAAGCTGTCTGGTCCAGTCACCCCCTGTTACCTTATGAGTTTATGTCAAATCTTCATAAGACATATGTATATAGTTTTATTTCTTGTTTCA